GGAATCAGTTTGACGCTGAGATTAGGGAGAGAGACACTCTGAGAAGAACAAACCTATCTTGGTGAGGGTGTAGAGGGAGAGGAAACACACTATGGGAAATGTATAGAGCACAGAGTAGAACACAACACAGAGCCACATCCTCTGCCCCTGCTTCTGGCTGCCTCACTCCCCATCTCAAAGTCTGATTTTGAGTTTTGTAGGCTGTGTGGTCACAGAAGCCTTGGAGGACTTGCAGAACACTGTCAGCATGATGTCAGGATCCACTTCAGCAGGAGGGTTGGATGGGGCAGCAGGGTTCACCCTGGGAGGCAGCACACTCTCCTTTATCACTGAGTGGCTATCCCACAACCATAGCAGGATGGGCTGCACTGAAGTGATAAGGTTCCCATTCGTGTGAAGGTTGCACTTACTGGTTTCCCGTCCAGACACCGGTTGTTATATTTCTTTCCTTTTTGTTTTGTTTGATTTTGTTGTTTAGGTAATCCTCCCCCATGGATATTTTCCCATTGATTTTTAGAGAGAGTGGAAGGGAGAAACATTGATGTGAGAGAGGCACATTAATTGGCTGCCTCCAGCATGTACCCCAACTAGGGCCAAGGATCGAGCCTGGAACCAAGATATGTGCCCTTGACCGAGAATTGAACCCAGGACCCTTCAGTCCATGGCTGACGCTCTATCCACTGAACCAAGCCAACTAGGGCTGTTATATTTCTTATATGCGGTGATGGCATCATCCTTCTTCTTTTTATTTATTTTATTTTTTATTAATTAAAGTTTTACATATGTGTCCTTATCCCTCCTTTACCCTCCCACCCCCCATTCATGCCCTTACCCCCCTGGTGTCTGTGTCCATTGATTAGGCTTATATGCATACATACAAGTCCTTTGGTTGATCTCTCCCCCTTACCCCCACCTTCCCCTACCTTCCCTCTGAGGTTTGACAGTCTGATCGATGTTTCTCTGTCTCTGGATCTGTTTTTGTTCATCAGTTTATGTTGTTCATTATATTACACAAATGAGTGAGATCATGTGATATTTATCTTTCTCTGACTGGTTTACTTCTTTTAGCATAATGCTCTCCAGTTCCATCATCCTTCTTAACAAAGACCATTTCTGCTGCTCCAGGAAGGACCAGCTGAGCCGCTTCAGGGCTCCACATACACAGAAATCTCAGCAGTATCTTCCTCGGTGACTCTAAGGTGCAGATTAGTCACAGTCATCTTGGTGCCTTCCAATGTGCTAACAACAGGCTCAGCAAGCAGCAGCTCTTTAGAGGAATCCTTCTTGTTCAGTAGTGTCCAGACATGCTGGTCAAGGCTTTTGTTCCAAGATAGGAGAGGAGAACAGGAGCTGTGTATGCATCATTCTGAACCACTTTGGTGAAAGAGAGGGCATTGGACACGGAAAACTTGGAAATGCTCAGCTCGAGCATGTGGTGGAGTAAGCTACCTGTTTACTAAGAATGGGGGCTGCAGCGTCATCATCTTCATCCAGGCCGTTGACCTAGTGATTATTGACAATGTTATCCCTCATTCCAGCAGGATGGGCATGTGGTGGTTCTGAAATTTAACTAGTTAACAGAATTTCTGGAAGGATCATTTCTTTTCTGTAGCTTTCAACCAGACTGTTTCTAGTGCCTCCAACACAACAGCCTTGATAGAAAGTCATTTATAGTATCAACTATAGTTTGAGCAATTATTTATAAGCATCAACTGAACTAGTGACTTTCAAATGAAAACAAATATGTAATCATATGCCTACCCAGTGAGATCTCCCCATAGTTTGCCTGTGAGCCATCCTATATTCTAACTTCTTAATGAACTACACAATCTAAGAGATTATTACAATGTATTCCCTCTTGTTCCCCCATTACTTTATTGCCAGGTGATAGGAGAGTAATCTGATTGGGCTAATACAATTATAATTTGAAGAACAGATGACACAGTGTTTTGGAATTAATTTGAACCCAAGAGGACAGTACATTGATGACAGGATAAAAGTGAGTAGAGCAGTAGTCCTGGCTCTAAATTGGGTTACAAATCTTCTCTAAGTACATTTCTAGGAGGCCGAGCCCAAGGCATGAAGCACCAGGTCACGTTGCAAATCTCTATATCTTTATGGCCTAACTGTGGTATACATACCAGTATAACATAGGACAAAAGATAGCCTCCTCTCTACTGCCCAACAAAGCCACTGAGGCCTGGAGCATACCAGAAATATGTCAGAGGGGATAGAGCTACTGAATGTATTTAAATAAAACTGAAACTGGACTTACTAGCAATCTTTTTAAAAGATTGGATTAACAGTGCATGAGGGATATAGGAATTGTAAAAACCGTAAGAATGGTACACAAATGACTGAGTTTGGGAAACACCTCTCTATAGCATCTAAAATGTTGCCCCTCCAGGGCAGTAACTTATCAGAAGGGTATTAGCAAAGCTAGATTGGAAGATCATGAAAGATGGCCCCTGACCACATTATAAAATCATCACTTCCATGAATAGTCAATCGGTCCCTGAGACCTTTGGAAATCCTCATCAAAGAGTCTTTTACATGTTATACACTTATTGTTTATTATGTGTCAGGCATAGGGAGTAATCCTTCTAGAAATGTTGATAACAGTCCTTTGTTTGGTTGCTGACACTTACAGTGCCTTCCGCCCATTCAGACTCTCTCTTAAGCAACAGCTGATTGGGATTTTTTTGAATTAGGGTGTCACTAAAGAAGTTAACTATGAGAGAATGGCTGAAAATTCATGCTCATGGAAGGGCTGACATGTCTGTTTTATGGCAGGTATAAGCTGAGAAAAAGAAGGTGATCCCAAGGTGTAGAGAGAAATATATACAACTGACAGACTCAGGTAACCAAAGGAGAAGTCAAATGGCCTCTGACAGACAAGATAGAATGTCAGTTCCTGATATCTCCCCAGACCATTTAAAATTTGATTGGACTTCATTTTTTATCCTTGCACTTAACAGGACATGTGCATTTATAGAATGTCTACCATTCACACCCCTGACACATATATTTTTTATCTTTCTCAAGACACATATAAACTGATGAACCAAAAGATAGATATATAGACAGTAAAACAACAAGCAGATTGTCAAATTACAGCGGGGAAGGGAGGAGGGTCTGGGGGAGATAATAAGTCAACCCAAGGACTTGTATACATGCATATAAGTACAACCAATGGACATAAAACTCTGGGGAGGGAGGGGATATGTGTGAGGGAGGGAGGGGGCAAAAAAAATCAATAAAATATGAAAAAAAGACACATTGAATGGGTTTTAGTTCCTTGCAACCCAGAGTCCCAACTAGAAAATAAATAAAAAGATAATAAGTACAATAGAGACATGGAGTAAATATAAAGCATCAAGGAATAAATAAAGGAACCAGAAGGCCATTTGATCATGGACTTGCTATAAAGCTATTCAGAGGAGATAAAGGTTTTTGAAAATGAGCCCTCAGTTTCTTTTTCTTGACTTCTCATATTCTCCAGCAATTCAGAAATTTGTATCAAACTAAGGTGTTCTCATATGAGGGTTTTTCTTTCAACCTATGTAATAAAGGTCATTAGTAGGGATTCCAGAAGATAAATTTTTATTTCCTTTTTCAAAAGTTCACCTTTTGTTCATCTTCCTCCTATTTCTTCTCCCACTCCCACCCCAGACACACACACACACACACACACACACACACACACACACACACACACACACTCCACCAAAAGTTAACAGTTGACATACATCCAAATATTTGACTTAGTGAAAAACAAACTACTACATAGATATATGAATTTGTAGAAAGCAATTCTTTGCTTAACCTTCTCTTAGCTACATGCTTTTGCATTTCAATTCTAATAAATAAAGTGATACTTCGATGCAGTCTTTTACCATTTGCAACAGCATGGATGGAACTGGAGAGCCATGTGCTAAGCGAAATAAGCCAGTAGTAGAAAAACAAATATCACATGATGTCACTCATATGTGGGATATAATGATCAACATAATTTGATGAACAAGAATAGATCAATCTAGAGACAAATGGTAGGGGAAGAGGTGTTAGAGAGCAACCGAAGGACTTGGATACATGCATATTAGCGTAACCAATGGAACACAGACACTTTGGTGGTGGGGGCTTGCCTGGGGAGGGAGTGGCTTGGAGGTGTCATTTGGGGGAAAAGGAGACATATTAAAACTTCAGACAATAAAAATAAAAATAAATTAAAAATTAAAAAATAAAGGGGCATACCTACTCATGCCTGTGTAATAGTCATGATGCTCACCCTCACTCTCCTTTCTAAGTAAAGGCAATTCAAGTGCTAAGCCTCCTGTTTTTGGCATTAATTACTTATGTTGACTGTTGTCTTTACACCTATCTTCTAATAAGAATAATAATCATAGAATTGATTGGCCTTTCTATGAACCTCCTGGAAGATGCCTGCCAGTTTCTTCCATTCCATCTGGACAAAAAGAATAGCAATAACAGTTTACAAAGCATATTCACATTTACTGTAGGGGGGTCTCAATTTTAGAATAAGTATACATGAAGCTTTCTTTCTTTAGGAGAGTACAAACAGCAAGGTATATAAGCAATTCCAAGATGTGGTGCTGAGAAGTAGTTTGGAAACCATGGCTTAGCATTTCTCAGCTAACTAACTAAATCCTGTGGGTTTATCTAACTACATTCACTCAAGAAATACATCTCTACTATTTATAGTGATTACATGCACATATGCCTGTGCATTGAGTATTTTCCATGAAATGACATCCAACTTCACAATCCAAGACTGGTTGGAAGCCAGATAGGATGGTATGTGTAAGAAGGAAGTTACCAAAAAAATTTCAAATGGTTATGGTGAAGAGAATGACATTGTTCAAGATTTATAGATCAAAAAATTAATCTGTTTATTTCTAAAAGAGATAGTTGGCACAGGAATAGAGAAGGGAGAGAGTTGGCTGTTTGGTTTGTATTTTCTGGGTGATTTCTTTTAAGTGTCACTCCCGGCAGAAAACATATTCAGTGTAAGAGGTCCAGATCTTGTCATCTGTCTGATCATGGGTGATAGTGCAGGTGCCAGTGGAATTGCATGCTACCATGTGAAAGCCAGCATCAGCTAGTTTGTCAAAGGCTTGTTCCAGGAAGTTAAATTTGAGGTAATATCGAGAAGTGTACCGCTCAGGAGGACGGTCAGGGTCTCTGCTCTCATTTAGAGTATCTCCAAATACTTCTTTGGCCAATGAGATCTTACCACACACCATGATTCGGGCCACGCGGCGGAATTTGGCATCTGTTTGGCTATCCCGACCCAGAGTATAGGAGCCTCGATAGCCAATAGTGATGAAACCTGCCTTCCTGAGGTCAGAACGAGTATTTGCTGTCAGGTTACCAGGGCCACTAACTTGGATGTTATTATTTGAAGAGAGGTTACATGCGATGTCAATGTTGGTGGAAAGCTCTTCTAGATCACTTTGGCATAAATCATTGCCAACTGAGTTGACCATGTTGATTTTAGGAGCCAACATCTTCACTAACTCTGGTAGCTTGAAGTATTCTGCTTCTCTCTGGAGCCGACCACACTCTGGAAAGTGGTCAGGAAGCACCAGTTTCCGGTCTCTCATGTAGTCTAGCACATAGCGAAAGAGGAAGCCATCCCGGTCTACAAAAAACCTCCCTTTGTTGTCCTGGATTAGGGAGCAAGGATTCTTTTCACTGAACATTTCCCAAAGCAGGGAGCCAGGAACACTGACCAAAGTGGGATAGCGAGTGATGTACACCTGACCACCCACATTGAGTTCAACAATCTCAGGAAAATGACTGAAATCCTTGCTTGATTTGGTACAACTTGATTTCTCTGGCATGGCCATATTGATCTGCAGAAGCAAAAGACATCAGTTCTAAGTAAAAGTTTACAGTATGGGGATTCTGTTTAGAAACATTATTTTTCTGCACTCATGTACACTATATACCAAGAAAGTCAAGCAAACCATAATCTTTTGCAAATTAACTATTTTTAACTTCAGAATGGCAGAAAAGAAAAATCGCACATAATTTAGCCTTGCAATTATATTTTTAATGTCCTTCTGAATGTTGAGTACATCAAATGATCACAATCCTCAATTCATGGCATGTTATCACAGTCCATGCAGGGACTTCCTTGTGGTGTTTGTTTATTTGTTTTGGTTATTCTGTTTTACTCACAGTCCATTCCCATTCCTGTCCCTGATCTTACCATAGGCTGCCATTCTGAGGTTTAGTGTATATCCTTCTATGCATATATATTCTTGATGTTATTGCATCATACATTTCAGTCTTCATTTATACATATTTATACATTTTTCACTCTCAGCACTATATTGCTCAAATTCCTTCACATTGCTATATGTATACCTAATCTCCTGCTTCTAACTGTGACATGATACTCCATGGTATGCACCACTATGTTTTACTATCTACTCTCTCAGTGACAGACATCCAGATTGGCTCTAACTCCTTGCTCCAATTTATACTCCTGTGCGTGTTTCCTATGAACCTGTGAGAGAACACATTTAGACCATATAGCCAGCAGTAGTATTTCTGAGTCACACTGTATGCATATACCTAATTTGACTACTCAGTGACATATTGCTCTCTAAAATGTCCCTTGTCTTCATCCCAACTTAATCCGCACATTCCCACCATGACTTGGCATTATCTAGATTTCTAAATGTTGCCACTCTACTGGGTTTATAGTGATACCTTGTGGCAGTATGAGAAAATTAATTATAAAATAAAGAATATAGGCAACTATTGTAAGATCATAACTTAGTACCTTCTCAAATGTCTACTCATTCCTCACCTTTTATATCCCAACTTCTGCCCCTACCATTTTACTAGAACCACTGTTTCCAATAAAAAAAAAAAAAAAAACATGGTGTGCTTATCACCTTTCTTTGTACCCCATTCTCCTTTATTGAATTTCTAGAGGCCCAGTGCATGAAATCCGTGCATGGGTGCGGTCCCTAGGCCTGGCCGGTGATTGAAGCATGAGAGTCTGGTGTGGAAGGGCAGGTCCAAGCTGATTTCTGGGTCCTGGGCAGCACCTGAGTCCCCAGGCCCCAACATAAACCCCCCTTCTGCTTGAATCACAGTGCCTGAGTCCCCACATGGAGATGTAGTGAACATGGCCAGGCACTGTGGGCTGAGTGCAGGGGGGTTCCTTGGCGTGTGAGCCCTGGTGTCCCAGGGGAGGGTAACAGGGGGAGTGAGAGTGAGTTCAGCAGACACCCTGCTTTCTCACCGCATCTCCATCCCCATCACCCCCGCCCCCAGGTAGCCAATGAGAGGTCATAGCACATTGCCAACACCTGCCATGTTTCATACCGCCCCCTGGTGGTCAGTACATGTCATAGAGAGCAGCTGGACTCACGGTCTCTGGGTCAAACTCCTGGTCAAACCACCGCCCAAGGGGACAATTTGCATATTAAGCTTTTATTTTATAGGATTACCCTATGTAATAAAAGCCTACCCTATGTAATAAAAGCCTAATATGCAAATAGATCAAACAGTGGGATAACCAAACAACCAGTTACTATGATTGGGCTGACCACCCGGGGGTGTGTGCAGAACATGGCTGGCGCCAGCAGCAGGTGGCAGAGTGCAGAACATGGTGAGTGTTGGCCGCAGTGGGATGGTGGAGCAGGTGAGGAGGGGCACCAGACCAAGATGGGGTTCTGGTTGCTATCATCAGGGTGAGCCTCTGGTGGTTACTGAAAATTATTTGCTCCCACATGCTGCGGTCCTGCCCAGCATTCACACCTGCTGCCAGCACTAGAGTCACTGTTCACACCCGCTGCTGGCACCCAGTGCCGGTCTCAATTGCTCAGCACCGTCAGTGGATGCGAGCAGTAGATACTGGCCCTGATCGCCCCTCAGGGCTTCTCCACCTCCCCCTGCTCCTGACTGGTGATTAGGGCAGCAGTCACCGCTCACACCCACTGACAGCACCAGCCCCAATAGCTCCGCGCTGTCAGTCAGACATTCCCCAAGAGTTCCCGGACTGCAAGAGAGCCCAGGCTGGGCTGAAGGACCGCCCTACCCACCCCTCCGAGTGCATGAATTTTGTGCACCAGGTCTCTAATTGTCCATATTAGGCTTTGCTGAGCATCTTCTTATCTCCCAGTCGATTCCAATTGCATCTTTGCCACTGGCTTATCTTGCTTCTCAAACTATCCTAAACTGTGACTGTGCAAGCCTCAAAACTGTGTGTGTGTGTGTCTTGGGTGTGGGGGGGGGGGGGGGGAGGAGTGCTATCTAATCTCTCACTCAGAGAAATCATCCTCTTAAGCTTTTCCAACTATTATATTTACATATATGATTACAGAATCCTAGCCTCTCACATAAACTTCAGTTCACTATTAGCAACCGCTTGCTGAGTGCACCAGCAGTTCCTTTTTCCAAACCACACTCATGTGCTAGTATGTGAAAGTGTCTTGTAAAATCTAAGTTATTTTAATAATCTTTGTTTTATTTCTCCAGCCAAAACAGGCCATATTTTATGATTTTTTGCCATGGCAATAATATCACACTTTTCCCAGTCTTCAGCCTGGAGATTTAGAAACTTTAGAGTCACCTTAACGACCTCATGTGTATTCCTCACTAACCTAGGAATTATTGCTTTATGATGTCTCTTGCATATACATACTAGAACTACCACTGACACTTCTGTTCTTCACTCTGCACTAGTTGATCTGAACCTCTAAATTCATCTGTCCATCTCTAGCTGAGATCCATCCACATCTGCCCTACACCCTGCCTCAACTTCCAAAAAATATCCTACATTCTATTACCAGATCAGTTATTATTATATCACTTTCTTCCCTGTTTAAAACTGTCAGTGACTCCACTTTGCCTAAAGATCAAATCTAAAACCCTTATCCTAGAATTCAAAGCTATCTATAAATGAGTTATTTTCTCTGATTAATGATAAGAATACCTAGACTGCATAGGACTTACTATGTGCCAGGCATTGTTCTTAGCCAATAAAGTGGGTACAAACATTATCCTTATTTTGCCAATGAAGAAATTGGTAAATAATTTGCCCAACATTAAACTAATAAGTTTCTCAGGTGGCATACAAACTCAAGTAGTAGGACTCCAGTGTCCATGTTCTTAATTGAGTGTATCTGTCAAGGCCTCTTTACATCTACAAAAATGGTATGGGTATTATTGCCTGTCTATGATATGTTGCCTTTGCCCAGGCCTTTCCCCTTCTGGTTCTTGGCATCAAGTACCAATTCAAGTCTCAATTAAGATTAAGCTCCTCCTCATATGTCTTTATTATATTTGAAATTTTCATTTCACTTTTTACTCTTTGGTGTCCTACTCTTTTACATAATATAATAACAGTAGTATTAGTAACATAGTAACAATAGCTAACATTTATGAAGCATTTACTATATGCCAGTCTTTTTGTATCTCTTTTTCAAAAAATATATTTTTATTGTTTTCAGAGAGGAAGGGTGAGGGATAGAAAGATAGAAACATCAAGGATGAGAGAGAATCATTGATCAGCTGCCTCCTGCATGCCCCACACTGAGAGTGAGAGTGAGTCCACATCCTAGGCATGTGCCTGACTGGGATTCAAACCATGACTTCCTGGATCATAGGTTGATATTCAACCACTGAACCATGTTGGCCTGGCTTGGATCTCTTTTAATGTGATGACTTAGTTAATATTTCTAATAATCGAATGAAGTAACTATTGCAATTCTCATTTCTTAAAGGAATAAGCAGATGCAGTTCATTATACCAGTAATTCCTCATACAAACTAGTGTTTTTAGTCTCCACTTACTAATTGACCCTTCCATGATAACTAGAATTATCTTTCTCAAATGTAAAACTGATTATGGCTTTCCTTGCATAAACATTGTCAAAGGCTTCTCAAAGTCTAGAGAATGAAGTTCAAATATATTTAATACATATGAGAAGTTACACACATGTCTTTGCCTTATTTCTGGGCTTTGATTCCAACTATCTTTCCCTTTGATACCCCCAAAATTATTCCAAACGCAGTTCATCAGACTCACCCACTTTTTTATGTCTACATTGCTTTAACGTATGATTCCTTTTGCCAAAAATGTCCTCTTTTACTCTACCTACCCCAACCTTCTTGAGAAATGTTATAACATAGTGGCTTTGGGAAGGTCTGAATTTTAATCTCACCTCTGCCATTTACAAGACTGGTAACTTTGGACAAATTACTTATTCTCTATGAGCCTCAATTTTCTTACAGATAAAGTGGATATAACAAGATTCATAAGATGAGGAGGAAATTATAGAAAGTATAATGTATTTGAAGTTATCTTGGGTCAAGCAATGAAAGTTCCATCAGTTGGTTGTGGTACTAAAAGTCTTATAATGAGCCGAAACTGGTTTGGCTCAGTGGATAGAGCGTCAGCCTGTGGACTGAAAAGTTTCGGGTTTGATGCCAGTCAAGGGCATGTACCTTGGTTGCCGGCATATCCTCAGTAGGGGATATGCAAGAGGCAACTGATTGATGATTCTCTCTCATTGATGTTTCTAACTCTCTATCCCTCTCTCTTTCTCTGAAAAAAAAAATCAATAAAAATATATTTTTTAAAAAAATCAAAGTCTTATAATGATCCATTAAGATTCTGCTAAAATAGCCAAAACCGGTTTGGCTCAGTGGATAGAATATCAGCCTGCGGACTGAAGGATCCCGGGTTCGATTCAGGTCAAGGGCATGTACCTTGATTGCAGGCACATCCCTGGTTGGGGGTGTGCAGGAGGCAGCTGATCAATGTTTCTCTCTCACCGATGTTTCTGACTCTCTATCCAACTCCCTTCCTCTCTATAAAAATCAAT